TGCCTCTGCTTCTCTTCCAGAAGATGACCTAGTTTTGCCATAAAAGACACAACCCACTGAGAAATAGTACAGGTTATTTGTGTAATGTGTCCCTATCCTCATGCCTCTGGATGTAAGGAGTGGGTCAAACAGTGAAGACTTTGATGAGACTAGCTGTCGCAGAGTTGAAAAATGTGGTGACCTCCAACATAAATAGTGAAGAAACATTTACTCAGATGCTGAGAAAAAAAAACACAATAGAGATGATTAAGGAAAGCTCCACCAATTAATTATTTTCCTTTGTATTGCTGGTCTCTTGTACTCATAACCAGTCATACAATAGCCTACTTTTTTCCTTCAGTTTTTCTCTGACCATTTTGCTCTCTCTGTCATGCACTTAGCATATGTCATGTTTGTCTTCCCTTTCAACTCTCCCCACTTCAGAAAGTGCGAGTTACTTCATGCCTTGCTCTTATGCAGTGAGAACTTAGGCTTTGTTCAAACAATACTGGAAAAGAATTTGGTAGCTAATTCCTCTTATACCATTAGGGCTGATGTCTGTCCCTTCAGCTTTTCAAATCTGAGTGTCTCTGTATCAATGAATAAGTTTAAATTTAGAAGCCTTACAAAGGTGATTTCTGCAGAAAATGGTTTTGTCCAAATATGTACTTTCAAGACAACTTTTCACACACACACACAGAGAAAAGCTGAGATGTGTTTAAATTAACATTTTTGCTGGGAAAGATGAGGTTTTCTATTCTGGTCTCTTTTTCAGCCCTTTAAAATAAGTGATCTAGGAACCCATATGAATGTAAGAGATACTTATAGATACACCTTTACTGTGATTGTGTTTCAACAAACTGTGTTTTGATGACAAATCCTTTTAGCAGAAATTTCCTTCAGTTTTGGAGGAACTGATGTTAACTGCTCTGAGGCTTTCACAAACACATATATACCATCACAAAAAAGTGGAATATCTGTCCACGCAGTATTTTAGATTCTTTGAACACGTATCTTTGCAACAACTTGAAGATAATAGAAATACCATTTTTCATCTCTGAGCTTAGCGTAGCATTCCAGGTGTCAAAAAAGAAAGAAAATAATTCCATTTCATAGGACAGAGGAAAATAATTCAAATGCTAAATGTAGGTATCAACATTTTAACTCGCCTTCATGCAACATAGATACTATTCTAAGAGTTTTCACTGCTTAAATAAAAAGTAAAGAAGGTGGATGCAAAGAGAACTCAGTGAATTGGCCTAAAAAGCAAAATTGGGCTTGTGTGAGACTTCTGCAACCTGACACATCAGAGACACTGTTTTAGGTGTGAGTAACAGTTGCATTTCCATACCTCTACAAATTAAGCCACATGAAAATGAAAGAAAATGAAGCAATTGTGCCCTTTTAAAAGATGTATAGTTTAGTCTAAGTAGCTATCCAGTTTAATGTTGAAGTCCTGCCTTCCATTTTTATGGAAGAGGTATAAAGAACCATCATAAAAGATACCTGCTTGCCAATATGTACATGTGCATGTATATGTTGGTGTGTATGTGTAGTGTTCATTTCAGGAAGGTGTGTGAGGAATGAGCTGTATCTGTAAACCTATTGATAGATTTTCCTGTTTCGTAAAATCATGTTCTGATGGGCACTGGAAATAGAGCCCATAACATGTTTTCCAGAATTTCAGTTATGAAAATTCCATCTGTGCTTTTGAGTATGCAAATCAGAGAAGAATCCTATAGTGATCTGTCAATTACATAGCACATCTTTGCATTTCTTGCCTTGAGCTAATGACTAGAATCAAATTACCATTCCATTGCTTGGAAAAGAGGCCAGACTGTGATTTAGAAAACAAATGAGGGCTCTTGTCCTTTTTTTCTCTGAAGTAATTATTGATGATTTTTTATTATTATGAAGGATTTTATGATTTAGCAATCATCTATAGGCTACTTTAATACAATATATTGATATTATCACAAAACTGAAGTTCTAACTGTAATGCCTTTTCTTAATCATTTTGTTCAAGGCCTTTTCAATGTATGGGTTCATCAGTATTCAGCAGTCCACAGTCCCATGCAGTATAACAGAAGTAATTTTCTGTCTTTCCACTACAAAGGAATCTAAAAACCATATACCTTGTTAAAGTATAGTCATAATGTTGCAATTTTATACTACTTCTCCTTCAGGGAAAAGAAATCACATCACATAATCATTTATGAGGAATTTGCCCCCCAGGCAAAAACAAAGGCTTCTGATTAAACTAGTAAATTACAGAAATCTATAAAAGTCTCTTTAGTGGAAAAGAGCTTTGTTTCAAATGCTGGCAACTTTGTTTTATGCTGCATTTGAGCAGTTTCCTAGAAAATATTGTGATTTTTTTCCTGGATCCTCAATGAACAGAGCTACAAGAAAATATGATTTGTATAATCTCATTCTGCTAGTCTTAGAACAGGATGAGCTTTGAACTTTGCCTGTTTCCTGATTTAATTTACCATACCATTAAATAGAACTGCCAGTGCCTCTAAGTAGCATTGGTGTGTGTGCAAATAGTTGAGATGTTTTAGAAGGGTCTGATAGCTGAATTTTTAACTTTCTTCAGGTTGCAAACTGTAAGTTTAAAATGGAGGAAATCAAACCAACTTCCAGCTTACAAACAAAACAGAGAAAAGACAAAAAAATGCCTACTATTACATAACATGCTTGACATCAAAGAATCATAACTCTAGTAGCTATTATTTTACTACTAATTACATAGGCTGGTTTATTTTTTCCCAGAATAAATATTTATCTTATTTAATAATTTATCGAACAGAACAACAAGAATTTAGTAAACTGTTTATAAAGTGCATTTAAAAGATACTGTTATTAATATGACAAGTGACTTAGCTGGTCAGTTGCAGAAAGAAAGGTCTACCAGAAGACTGACCTCACAAGGTGCTTTCCAGTATTTCTGTCTACTTTCCCTCTTAGGTTCTAAAATGCATGTTAATGCACAGGTAACTTTTTCATTTAACTCACTAAGTACAAAGAGCTTTGGAGGGAAGACCCACTTAAAAAGTCTGAAAAATAACACAGGAACCTCTTTCAGATCTCACGTCCACTGAGGAACATGGTTATGTTGTTTATGGGGGAAATGGACAAGAAATAATGCAATGTAAACCAAATTAAATGATAGAGGCTGTTCAGGGTATCCCTGCTGAGCATCCATATATCTTAGAGCTCAGCCTGGAGCAGGACAAAATACATGTTTTATGGGTTGACCATACCCCATGTGTCTTGCTTGCTCCTGTGGTCAGAAATATCATATTTTTTCTCTAAGGGCAGTGAGGGAACACTATGGAGGGGCAGAGGATAGACCAAACCTCCCAACATATATGTTTCATGGTGCTAAGCTGGGAATCACCATTTTTTACAGATGGTGAAAATGCCATGTAATGATGTCATTGTACTGAATTTTCACCAGCTCTGAATGCCATACCAAATTATTCTGCAAGCCACTGCTGTCACCTGTGGAACAGTTTATGTCATGAGGGGCAGAAAGACTGTAACAGAAATAGTTCTTTGACTTGGTATTTTAAAATCTTTTTAAAAACCCAATTCTGGCATGAACTCAGTTTAAATACAGATACATTGCTGCAAACAGATTGACTGTGACAACATCAAAACCAGATATTTTAAATCAGAATGGGCTTAGTCAACACAAGGCTCAAGCTGTGTATATTTCAGTGATGTTCACTTTAAAAGAATGTAAAATCCCACTGCAACTGAAAAGGATCATAGAGTTCCAGTCCTAATGTAACAATAATGTACTGCATTTTGGACTCTGCCAAAATATGTGATTTTTCCAAGAAATTTTAATTTATTTCTAAAGCTGAAGGGATTCCTGTGTAGAAAATAATTACAGGACATAGCTGGTCAAAATTGAGATGTTTCATGGAGATGTGCAATTTCTAGAAACGTTTAAAGATAATTTCAAGCCATATATTTAAACCTTGGTGAACTATTTTCTCAACAATACTAATTAATTAATTTTAACATTTTATTAATGTATTATATTTGACAATATTTAAATTACACAAATCCATGCTTCAGATTTGAGGAATCTATTCTTCATTTTTATTCTATTCTATTTTTCCTATTAGCTCTAATACAGGATTTTGGAGAGTCTTCCAATGTATCTTTTTGTTGGGAACACAGACACTGACTACTAGTTCAGCAATAGCAGGAAGCTCAAAAGTCTGTGTCATTCCTTACTGAATCATACTGGAACCTTAAAGATGCTTTTAGAATCAACAGATATTTTTCTACTTATCAAGAATCAACAAGCAGTCAAAAACGTCCAGTAAGAAATTCCTAAATTCCTGGGAATTCCTTAGCATCCTCATTATGTGCTTGTACTAACCTGAAACAGCCTTCAAGCTTCGTAATCAGATACAGAATTTGAGCATGTCTGTGCTTAAGCAGGTCTGTTCTGTTTATATCATGAAGGTCTGATTTGTTACTTAAACCATTTCAAGTGATTACATTAATGACTTGAAACTTGACCTTGATTTTCTGCTGTTTTACAGCAACAGTGGTGATTTCCAAAGAAAGTACAGCAAGTACAGTACTTATATTCTGCAGGCAATAATATTTTAAAATAGGAGAGAACTTAAATTCTTCATTACAAGGATCACATCTAAGTAAAGCTAATTCCCAGCTTCTATATGATTCCAGATCAGGGCCATAATCTAATTATTCATGTTCCTATTATCTTATAACTCTGGTGACTACAATTTAATTAATTTGGTTCTAAACTAGAAAGCTCAGCTTTTACATGGATCTAGTTCTGACGTGACAGCTTGTGTGATGCAAAATCCTGGCTGTCAGCTCTGAAAATTTGGGATTGCTCCAGATTAAGACCATATAATGTCCTGCAGGACAAGCAGCCCTTACAATTATACGCATGGCTTCCCTAATGCTTAAAGGTAAGGAAAAAAAAAATCACGTAGAGGATAAGGAAGGAAAAGACAGGGGAAGACTGACTTGATGGCACCAATATGAGCCTCTAAGCTGGGATCCCTGAAGCCAGTTGCATTATTTTGCACTTGTCTGGTGTGTATCCAGAGAGACCTCATCAGCAGGATACAACAACAAACACTATTAAAGGCAAAACTATACCAGTGTTGAAGAGAAGAATTGATAAAAACAAACTAGCTGCCATTATGACTCTCCTTTCTGAAGAGTTTGTCAAAGGAGCAGTGAAGTTGTCGTGCATGTTGGAGATATCCCAGGTGAAAGGAAGAGAGGTTTGCAAAGTAGAAAAGAGATAACATTATCAGCATCCAAGACTGGAAATCCTTTGCTTCAGCCAGATGAAGAAAGACTGAGTATAACTATCAGCCTTGCTACAATAGTAGTCACTAAGCCAATCAGCAAACCACAGGCTGGAGTAGTTCAGGAACATAAAAACTGTCTTGAAACAGTGATGATAACAGCTTGTTGGGATTGGCATTGCCCTGCAAATCTAAAGCTTCCAGGAGGCCATGAAAAGCTGAGTAAAAATTGTGTGTTCTTTAACTGCTATGCCCACGTTATTTTCTCTCCTTTTTCTAACAATTGCTATAACTGAATCCGTGGCAGGACTTCTAGGAAATGGAACTATGTTGGCTGGGAGTTCAACTACCTGCATTAGGAGCAAAATACTGTTCTTGTATAAGATGATTATGATCTTTCTGACTTTATCCAGATTCCTTTTGCAGTCCTGGATAACGCTGGATTTGTTTCTAAGTCTGTTTTGCAAAGCTTCATAAAAATCCAGCAGCTAGTTGAACACCCAGCCAACATAGTTCCATTTAGATTTGCAAGGCAATGCCAATCCCAACAAGCTGTTATCATCACATGCTCACCTGTTTATCTCAGAGGAAGAAGTATCATAAGTAATTTAATATTTATCTTATTTTACATTTTTTGATAATTATTAGTTCAGCTGCTTTCTCTAAGCATGGAAATTGGATAAAGATTCAATTATGGTCTTTTCAATTCAGAGTAGGGATTTGTATTTGAAGGACTCAGATCCATTTTTAAATGTGTTGTAATCCAGTTTTCACAGAACCCTCTGAATTTATGTACGTAAAGATGGAGAAGAGTTTCAAATATGTGTATTCTCTCTCATACCCCTATCTGGGGGGAGAGAAAGATCATTTCAATATCATAAACTGCAAGAAATACAAGATATTTTCAGAAAATACACAATGAACTGAATTTTGTACACAAATGTCTAAAGTATCTTAAACCTGTTGATGTATGCCGATCTGATTTCTACATCTGGTCATCATACAGTTAACATTCTTCCTCTTCCTTCAGTCCTGCAACAGTTTGGCAAGCATTTTCACTTTGTGCACATCTGGCTCTCATTTATTTTCTGCAATAGCTTGCCAAAGAACAATACAGTGAATGAATTTCAGGTGTGGTGCTATCTATGTAA